TACTCAGATCTTACACTCTTACTGCACACAACCTTACTGGTGTTACATTACATTACATAGCAGGACACGTTCCTGGGCCCTACTCACAATACATAATACATGGCACTCCTTGTAGATTACTTTATTACTCACACCTACTGGTGGTACGTGGCATTACAGTACAGTTACAAGACTTTACTCAACATACTCGTTAATACTGAAACCAGCAGATACATGGGTCCACTACACATCATGGGATAATTATTTCCAACTAATTATCCCTAACATACATGTTACAACACTCTCTGTGGACATATACTTCAAGGGTGCGTCCCAGGGTAGAACACTGAGATTCACGACCGTTGTTATTGTGTGTGGTAGCCAGACACAAGGCGAGTCTGGGGTATGGCCCAATGAGGCAGTGGAGCACATTAATCAGGCAGCATCGGTGCCATCGTTTCATATATTGATCCCTGCTGGGTATCTACTACATCCGGGGCAGTTGTTGAATGATCCACGAGTCACAATTGGATCTGGGGAAACATTGGAGCGGCGTCAGGGGACGCTCGCCCTGCCTCATCCCTTGGCATATATATCCCCTGAGTTGCCAGTGATCGCTACTCACGCAATGACAATAATTACAAACAGCTCTAACTGTTACTCAATCAAAGATGACCCTCAGTTGACAAAGGTCTGGCGAATTACTCGAGTTGATTTACACAGACTAATTCAAGATTGAGCTTCCCAGGAGAAAGTGGAATAACAACTGATCGACAACTGTCTTCTTCACAAAGGCGGGACAAGTGTAGCGCCTATGGGAAAAACACCTCTTCTTCTCAGGGGTTGCAAACCCACTCATGTTTTGCGGTCGTGGAGTTTAATAAGAATCATTAGTTAAATAGACTAGCAGTCAACGTGACCATGACAATGCATATCTAATTTAATGTAAAACAATTGTGTTCTCTCTCAATTTCGAAACTCTGAACACAATATGAGGTATTAAGAAATATCAGAGTCTCTGAGATACAGGAGAGAAAACAGAGGACAGGCGTACTGAAGCGGTGAGAAAACGGACATGTCAACTGGAGGACTCAATAAAGAAGTTATAACTACAAGTCTTAAAGGCTATTGAGCGTAATATGATCTTTTTTTTTTTTTACGGGGAATAGCCCACCCAGGCACAGGTCACTGACCACATCAGGGTCTGGAGGGCAAAAATATAATAATAATAATAATAATAATAATAATAATAATAATAATAGTAATAATAATAATAACAATAATAATAATAATAATAATAATAATAATAATAATAATAATAATAATAATAATAATAATAATAATAATAATAATAATAATAATTAACAAAAATTTATAAAAATTATAATAAATAAAATAATAGTAATAATAATAAAAATATTAACCATAAATAAAAAAGAAATAAAAAACAAATAAGTGAGAAACGACATATATTATGTATGTTGTTTTGTCAACAGTTAAAGAAACAATTGAGACCCTGCAATTGTTTGCAAATGAGGCAGAAAGTCAGATCAGCAACCTAGGACGTGGTCACAATTTTTCTGATGCCATATGGCAGCAGGGTCTACCATTAGACAACACATTATGCTTCCAATATCTTCCCAGGCGGTAGTACCTCCCTGTTTGGTAGCTGCCTACTACCTGATTTTACGTTAACTAACATGTACGGCCGTGGTCAGTCCACTTATGTAAATATTTCGACATAAACTTAACGTAATTTTGAAATATACATATATACATATATATATATATATATATATATATATATATATATATATATATATATATATATATATATATATATATATATATATATATATATATATATATATATATTTATAAATCATTGTAGATGCGCGTGATCCACGTATATGCTGATAACCACATAGGAAATGAGAAAACACGAAGTTCCCAAGCGATTTTTAATAAGCTATGCTAGTCTGTGCTTTAACTTTGCTTGGAAATGTGAATTACGCAAAAGCAATTGGGAACTTCGTGTTTTCTTGTTGCTTTTATTTTTTATGGGAAATAGCCAACCCGGGCACAGGTCATTGACCCACAACAAGGTCTGGGGGGCGAAAAAATAAGAGTAAGAAATAATTAAAAATAGAAGATAAAAAGATTATATTAATCTACACCACAAGATTTGCCGGAAAACCATCTTTTTGAAGTGAGACAGATTGTAAGAGTGTGGAAACACAGAAAAAGGCAGAGCATTCCACAGTTTTGCTGTGTGAGTAAAGAAAGATGTTCTATAACGGGTTATTCTAGTGTGACCGACATCCACAGAGAAACGGTGGGCACCGCGGGCAAGACGTGTGTTACGAGCCCACGGCCTTGTCCGTTAAAGTACCTGTAGAAGAGAGATACTGAAGCAACAGTGCGGCGAAGAGAAAGGGAAGAGAGATTATCAACTAAAGGAGGAGAGTTTATATGACGAAATGCCTTGATTCCACCATATCTAACAGTTGGACAGAAGAACCACCCCAGATATGAGAGCAGTACTTCAGGGCAGGATGCAAATGCACTACAAGAGGATTTAAATAAACTGCAGGAGTGGTCAGAGAAATGGCAAATGAAATTCAACACCAGCAAGTGCAGCGTACTTAATATTGGTAGAACAAATACTGTCAACGTATACAGCCTTAACAACATCAACTTAGATAGGTCGACTTGTGAAAGAAACTTAGGGGTACTTGTAAGCCCGGACCTACGGCCTAGAAAACAGTGCGTTAATGTTCGAAATAAAGCAAACAGAGTATTAGGTTTTATATCTAGAAGTGTTAGTAATAAGAGTGCAGAGGTCTTATTGCAACTATATCTTGCGTTAATCAGGCCGCACCTCGATTATGCGGTTCAGTTCTGGTGCCCTAATTATAGAATGGATATCAATTCACTGTAGTCGGTGCAGCGAAGAATGACGAAAATGATTCCGGGACTTAGACACCTTCCATATCAAGATAGGTTAAAGAAACTAAACTTGCATTCCCTAGAAAAACGAAGAGTGCGGGGAGATATGATAGAAGTATTTAAGTGGGTGAAAGGAATCAATAAAGGGGATATAGATAAAGTTCTTATATTATCCGAGCAGGATAGGACTCGTAGCAACGGATTTAAGTTGGATAAGTTTAGGTTTAGGAGGGAGATAGGAAGGAACTGGTTCACAAATAGGGTGGTGAACGAGTGGAACAAGCTTAGCAACTTTGTATTAAGTGCTGGAACGCTGGAAAGTTTTAAAAGGAGGCTAGATAGATTCATGGATGATAGAGAGTGGTAGTAACTCTCGACAGGAGCTGCCATGCACAGGCCAACCGGCCTATTGCAGACTCTTTATTTTCCTATGTTCTTATGTTAATACTTGAAACAACTGCTTAGTAGTGAAGTAGCTACTGCGTCTGTACAGCATTCCCAGCTTTCGGGAGGCAGCTTTAGCAATGGTGTGGATGTGTGGCTTCCCTGACATACTAGAGGAAATGGTGAGGCCTAGTATATCCATTTTTGAATTTTGAAGAATGATTGCGTCCTGAAATGTGATTGGTGGGAGACCTTTTATTTTGGAAAGTGTAATTGGTAAATACTGTGTTTATTACTATTGAATTTAACCAAGTTTCTACCTCCCCATTCGGAGATGCTGCTCAGATTCGCAAAATAGATGAAACGATATCATCTCGAGAAACAGATTTAATTTGAGTATTAGAGTGAAGAGTAGAATCATCAGTGCAAGAATGGATATAATTAGTCGTAGCGTGAAGTAAATCAGCATATACTTATATATATATATATATATATATATATATATATATATATATATATATATATATATATATATATATATATATATATATATATATATATATATATATATATATATATATACATACAGTATGTTACGGGTTTTTTGCGAAATCGGTTATTTTGCAAAATTACCGGCACGCATTTTGTTAATTTTGCAAAATAACTTATAAACAGACAACGTAAACTAACCTAACTTTATGGTTAGGACAGCACATAGTTCAAAGTAAAAAAAAACAAAAAACAGGACCATTTAACTGTGTATCAGGCTATGCTAACCTACCTTAACCTAACCTACCCTAACCTAACCTAACCTTATTCAACCATATATATCAATGTAAACGTGCACAAGATAAATCTTGATAAAGCCACACAGGAAAAAGGAAACACTTGAGCACCTCAGCTCCAGCGTTTCCATTGATATATATGGTTGAATAAGGTTAGGTTAGGTTAGGTTTCATTGCTTCCTCTAAGTCTGTCCACTATAGGTGACAACATCATGAAAATTTCTTGTGGATTTTGGTGTTCCATATTTTGTCTCCCTACCAGAGAAGAACGACTGGCATTCATGTATAGTATTACGGCAGTAGTTTGTACAGCTCAGCATCACTACTTTTAGTGACATCTACTGTATTACAAAAGAACTTTTGACATTCAGCAAAGTTGAACCCCTGATACAAGTAACGTCGTGCCATTACTCGCACCATTCCATGTAACTAAATTTTAGACGACCCCAATGATTTTTGGATGATATATCTTTGACGAACATGTATTTGGTCACATACTGCATAAAAAGGCTTTACTAGATAGTACGTAGAGGCGTTGAAGATAATTTATCAAAATTTTACTACAAGATTATGTATTACCTCTACACGATGTGTCACCTACAACGTTCATGTCCCTATGGCGAGTATTATCTATTGTTAACTCTTATTCCTTAAAGCAATGCGTAAATCACGAGAAATTTTTTTTATCATAACTACAAAGATTTATGAAAGCATTCATTAAATCCTTTCTTACTAATATAACATTACTGAATCCTACGGCAAAACAGTTTAGTATCATGCCATATATTTCTTAATTAATTCGTGGACAAAGATGTCGGTGAGACCGTTCTGTATGTTGTAATACTGACTTTTATTTTAACATTTAAGGAACATTATTCACTTTCTCTCTGTCTCTTCCCAAAGGACTTGGAGGCAGCTCGCCAAAGGACGAGCAGAGAGGTAATTTGGCAACGTCGCAGCAACAGCACCACCAGCAGCAGCAACAAATGTTAACCTCACAGGCTCAGTCGCAGGCTCAACTTATCAATTCTCAGGGCACCACTATAAACTCACAGGGTCAGATGGTGAACTCCCAGGGCCAGGTAGTGGGCCAGCAGCAAGTCCTAACTTCCACTGGCCAGGTAGTAACACAAATGGCCAATCATGTTGGCCCCAATGTGCAACAATCTGCTTACAGTGGACAGATGGTTCAGAATCCATCGGTAGTAGTTAATGCAGGTCAGCAGCAGCATTTACCTTTCCAACAAATGACACCAGCACAGCAGCTTCAGCTACAGCAAATGCAGCTCCAGCATCAAGCCCAACATTTAAAGAAAATGAGACGCCAGGATCAAGCAGCGGCACTACAACAGCAACTAATGTCTCAAGGAAAGGTGTCGCCCACACCGCTCAGAAAAGACACACCGGCGACGGTTTCAGGCCTTCAACAACTACAAAATCTTCAGCAGCAGCACATGGCCGGCAAGTTTGTAGGACGTGTAGCTACGAGTCTGCCCACCGCCGCGCTGCTCCAACAATCTACTATAGCTACCAGTGATGGCAAGCCCCGCATGCTTGTCATGCCGGGACAGACCATACCCACCTCGGAAACTCCGCTCTCGTCGCTTCAGAGGTAATCACTAGTAGTTGTGTCACAGGCGCTCCTTCACTCTGACCCACATTAATGTTCCTTGTGCACCAAGCCAGTGAGGTTGATCCGTTCCCGTTTCATTCGTTTCTTTATAAAGGATTATACCGTGGTTCTATAGATTTATATACTATCTTCGTGTGCATATTATAGGAAGAACTAAAACAATAACCAGATTATACTAATCATGAAACATTTCGCTAGCAACACAAGGTGCGTAGGCAGGCAGGATGCTGGGTAAGTAGTTAGCACATTTATATCTCAGATTTCGTCACATTTTAGAAGAGGTCAACTTTTTTAATTATGATTTGTCTATCCTCGCGCATTGCTCGAACAAACATTGCTATATGCTGCTCCATCAGCTTTACAATATTGAACCATGTTAATGCATGAGGTAGTCGCATGAGTAAAATTTGTTCTTTTGCCTTTGATACAGACAAAAAGGATTTTTCATCCATCTTGGATTACTGAGAATCGTGCTATACACAGAATGCTTGTTAAAGTAGACTGATCAAAGCAAACTAATCGGATCGCATGCACCACATTGAATTAGATAGAAGTTTTTTATCTGTATATATATATGTCATGCAGAGAAAAGAAATCTTGATTTTTTCTTACAATTTTACCCTATAAAGTTATACATTCGAATGGAGCTGAATTTATGACTTGTTGCATTAGTATGTAGCTGAGTCTAGTGAGCCGTCTAACAGTGATATGATACACCGGCAGACAATTATCTAGCTGTCCAGAATAACATGTGGTTGATAGATGTTTGTTATGATCTTGTCCTTGGAAACTAATACTCATAGTGAGTTACAGTGTAAGGGTGAAGTCGATACAGAGTCAGCCTGTTGCATGAAGGGAAGGGTGAGAGACTGAGCGGGTCCGCTGAAGCACCACAACCTTGTGTGGCGCGCACACACACACACAAACACACACACACATACATACATACATATACATGTATAAACATTTCCCATCACACTCATACACAGACACACCTCAGTGCATGTATACACACACATACACACACACACACACACACACACACACATACAGGCATGTACACGATATTAAACATATATATATATATATATATATATATATATATATATATATATATATATATATATATATATATATATATATATATATATATATATATATATATATATATGCACACACAAGCATGTACAAAAACACGCATGTGCACATAATGCACACCTGCATGGTCATAAATAACACTTTCGTACGTAAACACATGAACGAACGTACGTATACACATAAACACTCATAATGCACACACATAAACAGATAAACACACAAACACACACACACACACATCACCCACTTTTGCAATATAATGGGCGCCTCGACCTTCAAGTAAGCAAATAAACTATGAGACAGTAATGAACACCTATAATAATCAGAGATATACATACATATATCTAAATGTGAATACAAAACCTGACAGAGGGAGGGTGTTGGGGCCAGAGAGGAGGTCGGTTATATAAGTTCATCGTGAGGGTGGCGGAGGTGGACGACCTCCCTACCTCACCTTAACTTAGCCTATATAAAACATCCCATTAGTGGGTCTACATAACACATACCATACTGGGTCTACATAACACCTACCACAGTGGGTCTACATAACACCTACCATAGTGGGTCTACATAACACATACCATAGTGGGGCTATATAACACATACCATAATGGGTCTACAAAACACATACCATAGTGGGTCTACATAACACCTACCATACTGGGTCTACATAACACCTACCACAGTGGATCTACATAACACCTACCATAGTAGGTCTATATAACACCAACCATAGTGGGTCTACAGTACACCTACCATAGAGGGTCTACATAAAACCTAACATAGTGGAGCTACATAGCATCTTCCATTGTGTAGGGCTAAATAAAATCTACGATAGTGGGTCACCATAACCTCCCATAGTGGATCTACATAACACCTACCATAGTGGATCTACAGAACACCTCCCATACTGGGTCTACAGCGAGTACCACCTACCATGGTGGAACTACAATACACTTACCATAATGGGTCAACATAACACCTACCATAGTCGGGCTACAAAGTATCTACCATTGTGGGACTGTATAGTAACTAAAATAGTGGGACTGCATAACACCTATCTTAGAGGGTCTACAGAGAATGGATATAAATTCACTAGAGTCGGTGCAGCGAAGAATGACAAAAATTTTTCCGGGACTTAGAAACCTTACATATCAGGATAGGTTAAAGAAACTTAACTTGCATTCTCTAGAAAGACGAAGAGTGCGGGGAGATATGATAGAAGTATTTAAGTGGGTGAAAGGAATCAATAAAGGGGATATAGATAAAGTTCTTATAATATCCGAGCAGGATAGGACTCGGAGCAACGGATTCAAGTTGGATAAGTTTAGGTTTAGGAGGGAGATAGGAAGGAACTGGTTCACAAATAGGGTGGTGAACGAGTGGAACAAGCTTAGCAACTTTGTAGTAAGTGCGGGAACTCTGGAAAGTTTCAAAAGGAGGCTAGATAGATTCATGGATGATAGAGAGTGGTAGTAACTCTCGACAGTAGCTGCCATGCACAGGCCAACTGGCCTATTGCAGACTCCTTATTTTCTTATGTCCTTATGTTCTTATAACATCTACCAGAGTCGGGTTACAAAACACATACCATTGTAAGACTACATAACACCTACCATAGTGGGTCTACATAACATTTACCATAGTGGGTCTACATAACACCTACCATAGTGGGGTTACATAGCATCTACCATTGTGGAACTACATAACACCTATCGTAGTGGGGCTCCATAGCACCTACCGTTGGGACTACACAAACACCTACCATAATGGGATAAGTAATATCTACGATAGTGGGTCTACATAACACCTACTAAAGTTGGTCTACATAACACCTACCATAGTGGTTCTACATAACACCTACCATAGTAGGTCAACATAACACCTACCATAGTGAGTCTACATAGCATCTACCATTGTAGTACTACATAACACCTACCATAGTGGGGCTACAAAGCATCTACCATTGTGGGACTACATAACACCTACCATCGTCGGGCTACATATTATCTACTATAGTGGGTCTACCTAACACCTACCATATTCTGGCCATTTATCACCTCTCATTGTGGGACTACATAATAACTACCATAGTGGGGCTACATAATGTATACGATAATGGGGTCTACAAAACTCCTACCATAGTGGGTCTACATGAACGCACTATAGTGGGTATACATAACACCTACCATAGTGGGACTACCTAACACCTTTCTATGGTATGTCTACATAACACCTACCACGGTGGGGCTACGTAATATCTGCGATAGTGGGTCTACATAACACGTACCATAGTGGGACTACCTAACACCTACCATAGTGGGTCTACATAACACCTATCATAGTAGGGTGACATAACACCTACCATAGTGGAACTACATAACATCTACCACAGTGGGTCTATATAACTCCTACTATAGTGGGGTCTACAAAACACTTACCATAGTCAGGCTACGTAATATCTACGATAGTGGGTCTACATAACATACTTATTGGGGCTACATGACACTTACCAGAGTCGGTCTACATAACACCTACTATAGTGGGTCTACAGAACGCCTACCATAGTGGGGCTACATATCAGCTGCCAAGGTGGGTCTGTATAGCACCTACCATTGTGGGACTACATAACACCTACGATAATGGGCCTAGATAACACCTAAAATAGTTGGGTTACATAGCACCTATCACAGTGGGGCTACATAACACCTACTATAGTGGGCGTAAAGAACGCCTACCATATTGGGACTACATAACATCTACCACACTGTGTCTATATTACTCCTACCATAGTGGGGCTACAAAACACCTACCATAGTGGGTCTACATAACACCTACCATAGTGGGTCTACATAACACATACCATAGTGGATCTACATAACACCTACCATAGTATGGCTACATAACACTTACCATAGTGGGTCTATATAACACCTACCATAGTGGGGCTACATAACGCCTACCATAATGGTGGGTACATAACACCTACCATAGTAGGGCTACATAACACCTACCATAGTAGGGCTACATAACAGCTAACTTCGGGGCTAAATATTGCCTACCATATAATAATGCTACATAATTGCCTGACTTAGTGAGGATCTACAATACTTTACATAGTGGTTATACATAGAACTTACCCTCGAGGTGTCACTTAGTGCCTAGCATAATGAGGCTGCATAATACTTTCCACAGTAGGGCTCTAAGCCTACCATAGTGGGGCTACATGGTGCCTACCATAGTGGGACTACATCACATCTAACCATAGTGGGACTACATCACATCTACCATAGTGGGACTACATCACATCTACCATAGTGGGACTACATCACATCTGCTATAGTGGGGCTACATCTATCATAGCGGGACTACATAACATGTACTATAGTGGGGCTATATCTACCATAGTTTGAACTGAATATACCATAGCGGGGCTACATAACATTTACCGTAGCGGGGCTGCATAACATTTACCGTAGCGGGGCTACATAACATTTTCCATAGTGAGGTTATATAATATTTACTGTACTGGGGATACATCTATTATAGCCCCTATAGCCTACTACATCTACTTAATATTTATTATTGTGGGGCTACTTAACATCTACCATTATGGGGTTACATCTACCATAGTGGGGCTACTTAACATCTACCATTATGGGGTTACATCTACCATAGTGGGGCTACATAACATCTACCATAGTGGAGCTACATAGCATCTACCAAAGCGGTCCTACATAACATTTACCAAAGTGGGGCTACGTTACATCTACTGTAGTGGGGCTGCATTTCCCATGGTGATGCTACATGGCATTTACCATAGTGGAGCAACAAACATTTGCCATAGTGGGGCTACATAACTTCTACCATAGTGGGGCTACATAATATCTACCTTAGCGGGGGTACATAACATTGACCATAGTGGGGTTACATTTACCATAGCGGGGCTACATAACATCTACCATAGAGGGGCTACATAAAATCTGCCATAGCGAGGCTACATACTATCTACCATAGCGGGTGTACATGACATTTACTATAGTGGGGCTACATAACATTGACCATAGTGGAGTTATATCTACCATAGCAGGGCTACATAACATCTACCATACATAATATTTACACTAGTGGGGCTCCATTATTTATACCATAGTGAAGCTTCTTAATATACACTTTAGCTGAGCTGCATCATATTGGCTGTTAGCAGGGAAATTGTTTCATGAAACACCCTGGCAGCATTCACATGGTAATTGTTATGCGGGAAATTCATTCCGAGAAATTATAGGTACATACATAAGTTCACAGAACAGGACATAACCCACAGAGCTACAGTCACAAGACTAGTTAATATCCTTTAAGCTACTATTGCAAACAATATTACTTGTTAGGAATGAAGCAAGCCCAAATGTTGTCCATATCAGCACTCCAATTTCCCCAGCCACCTGGCGCAACACATACTGTACTGTACTAGTATCAGCTTTTGTTAAATTATGAGATTTAAGAGAGAGAGAGAGAGAGAGAGAGAGAGAGAGAGAGTGTGTGTTCCTTGCTATATACTGCATATAGTTATTGCAATAGTCACGTTCACTTATTGTAGATATATTGGGCTACGCCGCTGCATTAAGTACAGCTGCCTTCATCTACATTTCTTTGCTGCAGGGCTCGTCTCCGATCCTCGACTGACCAGCTGGCGTCACCGGAAGATAGTTTGGTGGGTGTTAATGCTCAGTTGGCGATGTTGACGGGGACGCCCAGCACGCCCGCGGGTACACCCAGAGGCCTCAGAGACGACTCCTCTGACACTATGAGCGAGACGGATAGTCAGAAGAGTCTCAGAATTCGTCGCAAGCTGCCACATCTGCCACCCGATCAGGAAGCTGCACCCCTACCCTCACATAAAAAGAACTCATTTGGACTCAACGCCAAGGACAGAGTCAGGTAGGAGGAAGAGGTATTCAAATTATGATGCCTTAAGCTGTAAAAAAAAAAAAAATATTACGTTTTTGCAAACAATGTACTTGTAAAGAAGTAATATTTATATATTATAAATACCACTCATTTGTTGTCAAATTCAGAGCTGAAAGAACGCTTCTGCATTAGGTGTGAGCCACACTATTCATCGTGTGCATTAATGCCAGTTGTTCTACGGTTATGTTCGCGCTTCCTTCTGTTTTTTTTTAATACAATGTTACAGTGAGGTAATAACTATGTGAAAGGAAGTTGACTTCCCACAGATACAAAATTCGATAGTGTTCATTAAATATGTTTAAAATTATTATGTTTGGCTACAATACGTTAAACAGATGTTTAGCTTCTGTACATAAACTATTTGTCCGCAGACATAAGGGCAGCACAATGACTAGATCCCTCGAACCTTGAATGTTAGGGGGAGGGGGAAGGGAGGGGAGGAGAGGAGACGAGGAAGAAGGAGGGGGGGATGGGTGGGGAAGAGGGGCAGGGAGAGGGCAAAATAGCATGGAAATTCGTGGGAACCTGCTAAGTTAACGCTTTGTATCCCACCAGACCTTTTCAGTTAAGAGGGCAGCAGTATCATCTGGGTAATTATAGAGAGTGGCTGTGGGTTTATGGTAGAAACTAATATTTATGGAATTATGCTTCAACATAGTTGTATGAATAAAAACGGCAAAACACAGAAATCACATCCAAATACGACATTGACAATCACCGTTGTGAGAATTGCACAAGTTCATCTATGTCAGACTGAGTTGATCGCTGAAATGAAGTTGGAAAATTACATAACGTTGTGGCGATTACATCAACTCTTAGTTGTTTAGTAAACAGGGAAACTAATAATGGTTTTGAAAATTTTAATTATCTTAATATTATTGGAAATTCAGTCCATTGAATGAACTAATAGAGTACTTGGCGTGTAGCGAAACCACCTCAATAGTAGTACTGTAGATGTAGACAAACAGCTAGGAATAATACACGATAACCAACTGCACTGGCAGGGAGAGGCAGTGGTTGTGCTGAAAGCATGGAGAGCGGTCGTCAGGGAGTGCACACGAGGGCTGGCGACGGTCGAAAATTTAGCCTAGTCAATTAAGAAAATCGTTCATAGAGTTGACTATTGTGTTATGTATGCACTGTGAACCTTAAGATGATATTAGCATAGCGTAGCGAAGTATAAAATACTGTGGTATAACAAATATGCCATCTGTATAGCCGATATTAGCTAGCTTTAAACTGTAAATCAATAAGTGTACAACACATCAAAAAATAATATGAACAAATTTACACGAAGTTAAAACAGCCATACAAGGAAATACTCAGAGAAATCCACAGGAGCGCTTTAGAAGGAAAGTTACAAATGTCTATGGATGAGTTTAAAAATAAATAGTTTGAGAAAGTTGACGCTCATTTTGAAACATGTAAATTAATGAAAAATATAGGAAAAGACGGACATGCAAAAAGGATGTTACTTTGGATGAAGATAAAATGGGAAAGTAAAGTATTGCAGACATCTGGGGAAGAAGAATATTAAACGCTGGATGTAGTATTTACATGGAAGTGAAAAAGAGAGGACCAGGGCGTGCTTAATTGATATGAATGGATCTAAGTAATGAACACTGAAAGATTGGTAAGAAGAGTGTGATAGTCAGAAGTGGATGGAAGAGAAGAGATGGGAAGACGAAATAAGAGATGAATAAATGGGATGTAGGAAGCAACAGAAGTGAGAGAGCTGAATATCCAGTAGAGCAATGTCTGTGAATGAGCGCAGGACATAACGTCCAGGGATATGTGAAGAAGAACGGGATGCTGGCGGGTGAGGCTAGGCTGTATGAAATGGCAATGATAAACAACACAGATTTCTGGGAAATGTTTGGGAAGTATCAGAGTGAAACACACTTTTTTACACTAAGTGAGCGAATGACAGCGAGTGTTGGGAAAAGGTGAGTAAACAGCCTTGTTTCCTCCACTCTGCACGAAGCGGAAAGATTGGTATGTACACATACACACACATACACACACACAGACGCACACACACACGCACATAGTTATTGTTTTGTTTCTTTAGTTATAGTAGATGGTAATGCAGTGGAAGCGCCCCTCAGAAAAATCCCGAACCAGCACAAACACAATTAATAAAACTATTTTCCGTGACCGTGGAATAGGTAGTACCTATGATTGGGGTTAATGAGACCTACTGGTAAAAGATAACACTTCTATTCCTTCCAACACTAAAGACGGAATCAATAATTGTACACAAGCACTGGAGTACTTCTTATCGTGGCTTACAACACTACAATGGGAAAGAAAAGTTATACATGGTATAAAAAAAAATATTAAAATATATTAATTGCATCTGAAAAGAACTACTAATGTAGCAGTACTACATACACCAGAACAGACACCAGAACGAGGAACACATCTGAAACATTTCTTTCGTACATCCTACATCACTTAGTGGCACATAAAACCTTAAAAAATATTACTTGCACCCATGAAAATGCCTTAAGTGCATCCGACAAAATTATAGCAATCACTGAGGAATAGAAATCTCGATTTAGTCATACTACACAAGAACATGGATCACTCATAGCCTGTCTGGGATGACCCACAAAATACTATAATCCTAACTGTCCTAACTACCCAGAATCCGAAGGTTGTAACTACTAACCTGCCAAGTGGCAGGCATTTACAAGAAACAGAGAAAATCATTCTGACCCGTCAGGCAGGCGGGTGCTCCGCTGTTTTTTTCATTACTCTTTCAAGGTTCAGGAGTCATGAGTGTATTTCACCGCCATCACCCGTAACATGCTTCACATATAGGTTCAGAATACACCCATACTTTAAGGTGCTACAGCCTTTCACCAATTTTTGAAGAGGAACCCCTACGTCCCACGCGTGCAATCAACCATGAGGAGCGTTGATTACACACCTGGATTTGGCTATTTTAATCACATACACCCAATACTGGGGAGATGAATGTCCCTATGTAACCACTAGAACTCCCGGTACCACTCTCAGTCTGCACTGAGTTAACTCCCAGTACTTCAAGGACAGGAAGAGAGTGACCGCCAGCCCGCCTAGTTAGGCCAGCTCAGAGTACAACCAGGTGAACCCTGCCCAGCTGAGGGAGGGGTTCTACTTTCCCATTAGTAAGATTTTTCGCTGACTGACTGAGGAGATGTGGTGTTGCATGAACCAAGGCGGGGAGATTTGATGAGCCAGACGACCACCTGCCAAAGTGCGGCTGCTGGTCCCAGTAGTTAGTCGTCAGAGACACCTGTTCGCCAGCTGTTCAGGTTGTCTCGCCTCATGCCTTGCCAGCTATAATCTTACTAACCATCAATCACCGACCAAGTGGGTTCTCGTAACCCTGCAAAAGGAGCACTTTGTTAATACTGTTAAATTCTTCTCCTCCCTATCTAAACACTGTCTGAGATCGAATATAGACTTACTTGCAACACGGATGAAACGCCCGCGGGAAGGGACGAGGCCAGGTGGTCGTTTTCATTGACGGGACGCATAGTTAGACGTCCATCTCCGTCGATGACCTGGTGCGGACTGATACCCAATCACCCCCGGCATCCTTCAGGGCGCTCGCCTGCCTTCACCCCATGACGTCATCTTTCGTGTATTACTTATAGTTTCTTTGAGCAACACGTAACATATTTAGACTGGGAAACTATCCACAATAACTTTAAATTTTATAATTGTCCCTTAACTTCATGAATCTTGTCTACATTAATTCGATAAAGTACATTTAAATTTCCATAGGCCTAGTTCAAAATGCTTCCACCCCCTGACTGAAGGCGATGCTTGGAGGCCTTTGTTTTAACTCGCCACGAGGCGTGGGTGTTTCAGCCTGGCCTACTTATGTTTTCCTGTTCGGCAGATCGGTCATTTTTGTTCTAACGTCTCTAAATATCACATTAAAATTTCTGAATATTATATATATATATATATATATATATATATATATATATATATATATATATATATATATATATATATATATATATATATATATATATATATATCATGTAAATCCACAATGAAAACGTGGATAAGATAAATCTTGGTAAAATCACACGGGAAAATGGAAACAACGGAGCACCTTAGCTTTCGTCTTTATTCAAGACATCTTCAGAGGCAACTAGATTACATGGACAGAGAG